AAAGGAAAAAACCAATTCAACAGATGGCATAAATGAAAAAAAAGAAAATACAATAGCAAATAAGATGCCTAATGCAACAGATGAAATACCAAGAGCAGTTATAAAATCTAAAAAATCAAGGCAATATAGACAAAGAGCGATAGAAACTTATGAATCTGATTCTGAAACTGAAACGAGTAAAGAAGAGTTAAAACAAGATCAGAATATTGTTCCATCAGGGAGCAAAGACACCAAGAAATCAGAGATACATGAACCAGAAGAAAAGAAACAAAAATTAGATAAAAATAACATGAATACAGTTGAAAATATCATAGATGTTAAGAATAAAGATTCATATGTAAAGGATCTGAATATACCTCAAGATAGCAAGAAAATTGATTCAGAAAATGAAGTCGAGAATGAGAAGAAGCCTGTTGAAAAGAAGGATAGATCCTCCATCTGGATAAAAAGAACAGTAGGTCCATTATTCGAAGAAGTATTACAAAGATATTATGCACGGAAAGCGAAGAGACTGACTGTTGTGAATTAGATTGTAATAAATTTAAAATTATTTAAGCATTATAACAATAATGATACACGAGATATTTTTTTTTATATTGTGATCAGAATGTAAATTAATGAACACTGTTCCCTTTATTGTACCAGTGAAGTCGTATAAAAAGATGGTATAATTTCGAATTGGGAAAATGTGTACAATAAAAACTAAGGATGAAAATTATAGCATTAGAAAATTGCAAGTGTATTTAAAATTATGTATATATATATATATATATATATATATATATATATATATATATATATATATATATATATATATATATATATATATATATATATATATATATATATATATATATATATATATATATATATAAAATACCATTCAAATGCTCAAACAATAGTTTTATAATTTATATATTATGATTAACTTTTCTGGGTTTTTAGACAAATTTTTTTATTTGCTGATGACAATACATTCAATTTCATTAAAAGAGAGAAAATATATTGTATTTAAATATGTGAGAAGACATTTTCTTGAATATCTTTTATTCTCTGTATTATCTATTTCTTTGTATTTATTTTATACTTTGAAATATTATTTCTGATAAAATTCAATACTTACATCTGTACAATTCCACATTTCATGTATTATTCTGAAATATTATTCTGTTTTTTTCCTGCAGCCATATTGAATTGAGAACTAAAAAATTGTGTGAATCTTTTTCTCGCACAATATATTAAATGGTTTTCATTAAATACATTTAATTAGCTTTTTCGTGTATGTTAGTATAAATTAGTAAAATATACACTGAAATCATAATTCAATATGATCGCAGCGAGAAAACAGCTTTTTAATGTAACAGACATGCGAAGAACGAGTTATCTCTGCGATTATACATATAAATTTGTACATTTTGTAAAAAATGCAGTCTCTTGGTGTAAACATGTGTATATACATATGCTGGCCAATAATTCTGATATTTATTATGTCTATATATGATATGATCTGTATATGAGCTGTTCATATATGATATCATGCATCTTTAGCTAGATGTTACATTTTGTGGTAACATGTATCCTGTATCACCCAGACAAAAGAGTGTAACTCTACCACTGGGAAGAATGCAAAGCCAAGTAATGCTTCCATGTTTCAAGCATATTCGTAGCCATGCTTCTGGTGGAAACTGCAATGCTCTTTAAAAGAAAGAAGAACATTTTGATATATATATATATATATATATATATATATAATAGAAAGAATATCAAACCAGAGTAAAGAAGAAAATCTTACCGACAAACGAAATATCTGATGACGTTTGCATGACATACAAGAATAGAGTAAGAATCATGCTCCTGACTGGGATCCGCACGATGAAAATACTTTCTAAATGCCGCTTCTATTCTGGGTCCATCCTGAAAGAACTGGAACATATAGTGTTTTATATGCATTGCGAGACTTTATTCTAATATCTCAACACAATCAATAATACAAATAATTAATTATACTTTGCTCACATGTTTCTCAGACCTCCATTGACCAATAGGCGGTTCCGGAGGTATAGGCGCACCTTCGATTAACATACTATCATCCTCAACAGGCACATCTATAAGACTCTTTTCTATAATTTTAGATGTTTCTAGAGCACGTGTCATTGTAGACCTTACTATTAATGAATAAGGTAGATTTAACTCTGCTAGCCTTTTTCCTGTTGCTTCAGCTTGCTTTCTGCCTTTATAATAACAAAACAGATGTAATATTATAAATGATATATTTTTCTCATTGAATTCTTTCTTAACTAGAATTGGTCATGTGATCTAAGAAGAATAGTTGCATTCATTTCAATTAGAATAGAATTCAATATATATATATGGTATATGTTTATGTCATAATTATATATAAATATGTTATATTTATATAATAAGTGTAAAATTAGGAAAATAAAGCAAAGATTTAAATAGAAAGCCCCAGTTACAGTAATTTGTGCCACAAGTTGCAAGCTTTTTTAGAAAAATAATAGCGAACACTGAAAATACTAGTGTTACATCTTCTCATTTAATGTTAGTTTTAATAAAATGTAAAATATGAATTATTGATATGTGACAATGGAACAAAACATGCTATATTGCAAATTATTACATACTTTTGGTAAAATAACTTATTAGCCATCTTCTAATATGACATCATGGAAGATATAAATATATAGATAGAAAGCATGTTAATCCTAGTACCATAAGTACATTTAAAGAATATATATAATAATAGAATTTGTATAAAATACATTTTTCAAAAATTGCTGAGTGTACTGGTTATGGTAGCAAATTATTGTGAATTTCTGCCTTAAGCTGAGAGATCTACCTAAATATATAAAGCTCTGTCAATATAAAGTAAATATATATGATATATAATCTATCACATATACAAAATAAAAAGCAATACACACTAAATAAATAGGCAACACTAAAAATTAAGAAAAATATTTTACATGCTTTTAATTAAAGAAAGATTTCAATATATAATGTATTAAAAATACAAGAATTCAATGATAACAATATTGACAAAAACATAATGCCATTTAATTTAGTGAGTCAAGAATCAAAATAACTCACTTCTAAATTGAAACACCTTTATGCTATTCTAATATGTTATTCAAACTTTTTCATTATTAATTGTACAAAAGCTCGTGCTACAGCATACCAAGTTCAGTTAGCACTTTCTCAGCATCTGTCTTTCCATCTATATGATATTGCCCATGCCGAATCAAAAGTATATGTCGTATAGCCTTTGCTTTCTTTGCCTCGTACTTTTCATTGTACTTGTTTTCATCATTTTCACTATTTATTTGCATTGGCTTCACCAAGCTCTTTGGATCTCTCCTGCCAATGTAACACAAATATAAAACTTTCAGCAAATCAACAAAATCAAAACCATTTACTTTCGAGTTATTTCTATTAACAATACACACAATAAATTTAAAAAGAAAATAAATCACCTATCCCAATTGTGGTCCCACTTCACCGAGGGTGTGTAATTCGTCGTCCACGAGTTATGCACTTGCCAGGAGTCCGTATTATCATTTGCATTATAATAATAAAATATTGCACCGCTTACTGCTCCTAACCCTAGAGCCCACTTATGCAAATATGAAACAGCTGGCATTTTATTGAAAGAAAAAGAAAAATTATGACAATAGATTATAATCTCGCATATAAATGTCACTCCTCTTTGTTTTGCTCCGCTTCTCTCTCTTCTTATTTCTTTATCAGATTTATTAATCGGTCTACTAATAACTAACTTTCGCGCTGTTACGGGTTACGGCTAGGGGGCTAGGGCAAGAGATA